ACTAAATTTCTCTAAACAAGACCTAAACATAGAACCTTAAATGCTCAAATCAAACAGTTGGTTCCTCTTTACTCACAATTTATATATATATATATATATTTTTTTTTATCTTTATTCTGAGCTTGTGTGAAGCATGATAAATGAAAGCTAGCAAAAGTTTTCCAGTGGATGCTAAAATACTTTTCCAAACCTTTAAATGTGTGCAGCTTGAGTTAATGCAATGAAAACCACATGACTAGTGGATAAAACTCACAAATGTACAATTAGTCTACCATGAGCTACCACAGCTTTGCCCTGAAGGTTAATCGGTCTGTTTTGTAAAACAATCTTGGTTTATAGGTAATTACTAAAACAGAAAAGCGTTTTATATGAGCTATTAAGCGTTACAATAAAGCTGTAATTATTCATTTTCACTATTTCAGACACAGATACAGCCTTGCCAGCCTTATCAAACAGCACTGATGAATATTGTGAAGGGATTCATTGTGTTGAGTAAGTTCCATCAAAATGAATGCACATATTGTCATTTATTACAGTAAACTGTTGCCCTCCTTTATTTTTCCTCTTCTTATCCAGCCAAATCAGCATGCCCTGAGGATGCCATTTCCTTGTAATTTCCAAATCCAGAAAAAAAAAATTACCTTGTAAGGTAATTTTTGCTTTTTTTTTTACAACTATGCACCGAACATTTGTTTCTAAACTAGGCCATGCGGTATTAGAGTCACGCCTCATTTTACATGTACCGCTTCAGGTTTTAACAATAGCAATTTCAGGGAGTTTCCAACAATGGTAAATTATATCTCAAGGTTTGGTTATTTAAGCAGTAAGCACACAAGCTTGCCGATTCAAATCTTCTCACAGGAGTCAGACTAGTGACTGGGACTTTTTGAGAAATCTCAAAGTTTGGGTTTCTTTTTGACTAGGCGTGTGGGAAAAAATCGATTTGGTGATATATCGGGACTTTCGCCTAATCAATATAACATCGATCTTTCTGGACGTCCTTAGGTCCCAGTTTAAACAGTGAGGCGATTATTCCTTTGTGGTTACCGCACCTAAGCTGTGGAACAACCTGCCCCTCACTGATCTGCACCCGTGTATTTGGTGAAAGACGGGCCAAATAAACCAATCAGATCAACGAAGCATATGACGTACTAACAGAGCG